CTTTCACAGAAGAACGACCTCAACGTCACAGCCCAGCGCTTTGTTTACGGAAGTAATAGTGCGCCTGTATGTTGACGCATGTATCGATTGATTTCACAGTTTATTCAGAAAGTATTGTCACAGGTTCACTCAACACAAAGGAAACTAACAAAAAGAAAACACAACTAACAGCAGTGGCTTTTTGCTGAGCATTCACTGCAACCTGAATGTGATGCTTTTCAGTGACACAGATTTTGTTCAGAAACTCAAAATCATAATTTTCAATCATTGTTTATGTCCTGATTTATTGCGTCTGATTCTTTCTGGTGTAGGATTGCGACCCATGCTTCATGTTAATGACACAAAAAACAGGTAAAATGCAACATGATCATTCAGACAGCAGATACTTCGAAAACATTCAGATCGTGGTGAAAAAGGTTGAAATGGGGAAAACAAACAAAGTGAATTTGGGTCGTATTTGCCTGCTGTGTGAACGGGATCTAATTGTGTTTCAGTCAGGTGTGAAGTTATCACACCTCATATAGTAGAGATAATGTTAAACGACTGGAGTCTCCTGTGAGATACGATCTTTAAAGCGTTCTCTTCAGCATCAGATGTTTAAAATCACCTGCTGGCCTCAGAACATGCAGATGTACGTGTTCATAAATGAATGCAATGGTCTTGCATCAAGTGGAAGTGAATGTTAACAACAAGACCTGTGAAACTCAACTGTCTCTGAGTCTTTTTTTAAATCCACAGCTTCTCTGTTTTCTTTACAAAACTGAGGAAATGAAACACTTGAAGCTAAATGTGTTCTGTTTTCTGGCAATACATTCATCTGGCAGCAATTACAATAAATCATTCTGAGGCTATATACAGACGTTGCTTTAGAAATATGCTATGCTTGGTTAATTTCATTTTTAACTTCTTTCAAGCCGCGTTGAGCTGAGGAAAAGACTCTGGCAACATTTTGTACAGTTTGACACGTTTTATTTCTTTCTTCACTGCTAGATGACAGTTCTTAGCAAAACGCTTCTACATGCGTAATAAGGAACTTGTATGTCGGCACATGAGCACGTTTCCACAGTTTAAAAGAAAAGTGTTCTGTTCCACAAGTCTTGAGTAAATGCTTTATTCATTCTGCCTGACATTTGTTTGTTCTTCTGCAGTTTCATGAGCAACGACATTGTTAGAAATTGTTACAACTGGATATTGATCCTAATCACAGGATCAATATGAATCCCTTGATCCAATAGGAGCAATTTGGGTTTTGTCCTCGCTGTAGAAAATGGTCCAGATATGAATGTTTTAACTGTTTTTTTTGTCCACTGTGACCTATAACCCCAAAGGCTTCATTTAACAGAAGCAACAAATTACATGCTTTCTGGTGGTTCCACAAGGACTTCTCCGAAAGATTCCCACTTGTGGTTTGTTGTTTGCCACTCTGTTGTCTGGTGGTTCTCACCACTAACCTCATGTAGATAATAGTGGGTCAGCTCCGGTCCTCTAGGTCTGGCGTCCTGCCAGGTTCAGATAACTTTGTGGTCCAACATAGCTAACTGAAATGATCTAGTTAAAGCTGTAGCATGTCAAAGCCATTCACAGGCCTGCTGACGAGGCTTTATTTGATCCTGCTGTTTTTACCCAGGGAGAGAATTAAATTATAACAGACATCAGACCCTCAGGACCGACTTTGCCATGGCAGAGGAAAAACTTGTGTTTTGGGTTTTTCTCAGTCTTTCTGTGTGGATGTGGGTGTTTTGCAAAAACACTTTCGCATGTGTGCGGAGTTTTCGTCCTCACATGCTTTCCTCGACTTTTTACACATCAAATTTTAAGGAAATACCATTACCAAATATTTCCATATTGAACGTTACGTTATTGTTATAAATTTAAATGGTGCTTTAGCTTTGGTCTACTCATGTTTTCTGTTTAATCACCCAGTCAGTTGGTGGTTTCCTGCTCTTCAGGGGTCAAAACCAAATTTCCACCACAATGTTAGAACATCCGCTATGAATCTACTCAAATGGTAAGTGACAGTAGTTTCAATGCAAAGTTTTATATATACATATATATAAATTTTTTTGTCAAATTTTATTTTTAGAACCTCGTCTAATATTAAATGGCTGAAAAAATGCAACATTTCATATAAATAAATACAGTAAATGTCAGTTATTAACTATGACAACAGAACAAACATTTGTATCAATAAAATGTGTGTGCAGGTGGCCCCACCCCTTAAAAATGAATAGCAAAAATATATTCTACTGTTGCTGCAGTGGAGAGGAAATCTGAGTTTAACACATCACTGTGGTCAAAGCTGCTGCATGCTTTATGAACTCTGAGTAAAGGGGAAGGAAACACAGGCACATTGGAGAATGACATTTTTTTCTTTTAGTGCTTTAAATGCAACTTCTCCTTTTGCTATTACTACTTTAGTGAGAGCAAAGTGCAGCTGATCTAATTAGATGTGCAGCAGGTCTGGAAGTGAACATGGGGGAAACTTCACTCTGCAGGCTGAGCTTCTTTTGTAAGTACATTACTGGATTTCGGTTCACTGTGTGGATGAAATGATGGTACAGGCTGGAGAATTCAGTCTTTTTTATAAACATGAAGTTGGTCGAGCATAAACTGTGAAACATTTCAAAATTGTAAGACTTGAAAATGATCAGATTTTGTTCGTGTCACATGGCACGAACAAGATTTGTGCCATGTGACACGATTTATCGCCTGGACGATTTGTTGCAGCAGCAGAATGACTGCAGAGATCAAATCAATTTATCAAATGATGAAAAGCTGGTTTTTGGTGTCAACCTGCTTATTGTTGGAGTCATATTCAGTAAATTAGAATAACTTATGTTATCTGATGAGGCATGTCTGTTAGCGCCTGCCTTTAAAAAACAACATCCTTTAAGCAGGAATTAAAGATCCTTTTCCTGCACAACCTCAGAGAAACAGCTGAGAAAATTGAGGAAGGACTCAGGAGGGGGATGTTGGTCACAGTAGCAGTTTCTGTATGACTTTTATCCTGCTTAATATTTGTCGTTAGTGGTGGAAGAACAGAATTTATTCTAATTCATTCTGTCCCACTGAAAATCTACAGACCGTTGATTCAAGCTCACAGTGAATTTTTTTTTCTTCATTTCGTAATAAAAATGGTTTTGGCAGCTTATGATCACTCAGTATGATCCAATTTTGTTATATTTTTTATGTGATTTCATTTTTATTTCACATGTTTTATGTTTGGAGACAGTTATTTTATTCTGAGTCAAGTGTGAACGGGCGGAAAAGAGACCTTTTTAATGACTAATTCTTACTATTTATTGTAGTGCTCTGTTCACTCTGCTGTGGATTTTCTGAAGGTAAGAAACATTTTTTTGCTCATCTATTTTTCTGTTTTCAGAGCTGAACAAGTTAACACTGTAGTTCAGTTTTCACAAGTTAAAAATGTATTTATTTTTTGATGAATTACAGTACTCACAACCTGTACCAGCACATTTTCATCTATAATGTAATATGCTAACTTTCACTCCACAATATTTTTGCAACCTGACCTTTGCTAACTTATTTATATTTCTCTCCACATTTCTTTTCCAACATAAAGTGTGTTTTAATTTGGACAAGTTTCAATCAGGCAGCCTTGATTCACACATTATACTGTTTAGCTGTATGTTATTGTACGTTGAGATGTTTTTAAAGCATAAAAACAGAACACAATGCACTTTTCAGCATATATTCAGTTGAATACAGAAGTGCAGGTTAAACCTTTTTCATGAAAAGCAAAAGCCATTTATTAATTAAATAAATTAACACCCAGAAAACCAACTGCTTCTCTGGCCCAAGTTCCTCTGAGATGGACAGGATATGTTCCTATGATGGTACGGGGGGCTATTAATGCCAATAACATGAGCAACTTGAATATCTGTGAAGTTGTGAAGATGCTTTTTTACGGCGCAGGGAATTTCCAGCGACCAACTGGTGCATTACATAAGTTGGGTAAAATGTAAAACATCTACACAGTCTACGCCTCCAGGAAGCAAGTGTTTCTCAACAACGGAGAGCCCAGAGGCTCAGTAGGGAGAAATGAGATGTAAAAATTCCTGGTTTTTACCAGACTTTTGAGATTCAACAGGCTTTATCAATGATGGGCAACGTGAGACAGAAGTTACAAGGCTTTGCTCTGCTTTCCGTTTGTTTTTAGTTACAAATGTGTTTTCATAACTGAGCTATTTGTAACATTCTGTTTGTCCCATGTTGATGAATACTTTTGGGTTATGGAAAGTAGTTATTTGTTTATGGTTTTATCATAAGAAACAAAGCAAAAGTGACTTTATCAGCATAACTCAAGTGGGAACAGGGGTGTTAATTTAGGCAAATGAAATTTCTGTCGGTTTTTCAAATGAAAACTGTCTTTACAGTCCTTGTTGTTGTTGACAGATTTCAAGCTGACTGTGATCCTACAACCCAACTGGCCTGTTGTTTATAGTGGAGAGACAATCAGTCTGAGATGTGAGATCGAGGGAGGAGAAGGAACTCAGTGGACGTATGAATGGAGACCAACCAATAGAAACTCTCCAACATCCAGTGAATACAGGATCGACAGAGTCTCTGAGTCTGACAATGGAGAATACAGTTGTATGGTTAGAGAAGGAGATCGTCAACTAACAGAATGGAGTGATGCCGTCACACTGACAGTGAGATGTGAGTCTGATTTAGAAACTGTTTTATTGTTGGATTTTAGCATGAAACAATTTACTTCTGTTATTTCTGACCACAGGAATGTGTGAAATATTCTGCTGGATGAATAAACAGCAACATGTCTCTGAAGTGAATACTAACTAAAGTTGCTCTGTAATTTATTAATAAACCACAATGTCTTTGTTCATCTTTTAATCTTGAATAGTTTTTTGTAGAAAACACTCAAACTTTTAAGGTGACTAGGTTTTGTAAACAAGCTGCTTCCTGGACTAATTAATAGTTTTTTTAGTGAATAATATTCTATTTTGCTTTAAACCAAACAGCAGATAAACCCAGAGCCACACTGACAGCAGACAGAACAGTCATACCACTAGGGGGCAGCATAACACTGACCTGCTCAGTGGACGGATCTGATGACTGGAAGTTTGACTGGTTCAGAAATGGGAGACAATATTCTGTAGGTCGGATCAGAGGAAACACTGAACCATACAGAGTCATCAGTGTCTCAGAGGGAGGAGTTTATAGCTGTAGAGGAGGAAGAGAAAGAGGAGGAGGAGGAGGAGATCCAGTTTTTCAAACAGAAACAAGCAACGAAGTCCCTATTCAGAAAACTGGTGAGTTTAGTTCTTGATTTTAAGACTGTAGCTCCATTTGATGCCTTAAAATGAAAAATTTCTGTTCATGTTGTGAACAAATTAGAGTTATTTTAATAGATAAATGTAAGTTTTCATTAACCTTCAGCATCTGCAGTTTCATGTTTATCTAAAACCTTTTGCTACATCTGTCCACATTTAATGCTGAAGGTTTGATAAGTTGGATTAAAGTTCATAAGCTCCTCTTTGTATTACTTGATTTTTATCCATATATACTGTAGTTGTGTTACATCTTAGAATTTCAGCTTATGTTTTTATTAAAAGCAGAGTTACTTTGAAAAAAAGATGAAGGAAAAATGATCACATGGGAAAGTAAAAGGAAATTTTCCATTTGAAAATTGTTTGTTGTTGATTAGTGTCCAAGCCGACTGTGACCCTGCAGCCCACCTGGCCTGTTATTTATAGAGGAGAGACGGTCACTCTGAGATGTGAAATCCAGGATGATGGAGGAACTCAGTGGACGTATGAATGGAGACCAACCAATAGAAACTCTCCAACATCGAGTGAATACAGGATCAACAGAGTGTCTGAGTATGACAATGGAGAATACAGATGTAAGGCTAAAAGAGGTCGTCAGCTCACAGATTGGAGTGACGCCTTCAGACTGACTGTGAGATGTAAGTGTGGCAAAGAGGGCTTTTCTTTTTTGACCTAATATAAAACAATAAATTGTGTTTTTTCTGACCACAGGTCACAGTAAAGTGTGAAAAATTCAGCTAGATGAATAAAAACCATAGCAATTCTCCAAAGTAAATGCTAACTACAATAACTGTAATTTACTGTTTAACCACAACTTTGTTCATTGTTTAATCTTGAGTAATAATAACACTCATCTATATTAGATGTCAAAGTTTGTCAAACAGACCCCTTTTTTTTTGTTGAAGTATTACAAACTCTGATGATGTGATCATTTTCCTTATTTGCTTTAAACCCAACAGCTGATAAACCCAGAGCCACAGTGACAGCACACAGAACAACCATACCAGCAGGGGGCAGTGTTACACTGAGCTGCTCTGTAGAAGGATCTGGTGACTGGAAGTTTGACTGGTTCAGAAACGGACAACAATATCCTGTGGATCAGATCAGAGTCATCAGCGTCTCAGAGGGAGGAGAGTACAGCTGCAGAGGGCAAAGAGGAAATCCAGTTTTTCAAACAGAAAAGAGCAGAGAAGTCTCTATTCAGAAAACTGGTGAGTTTAATTTTATAATCTGGAGTAAACGAAAACGATCTGTTCATTATTGGATTTTTATTTCTGTGTTTGGTTCCTTGTTCACCTAAAAACTAGGTGGACAAGGAATATTATATATTCATTGATATATTTAATGAGTGAAGACTTTATATCTTTGTCATCTTATCTCGTGTAAAATTTGAGAATGACAATTTAATTGTTAGATCTGAATTAGTTAAAGATAATCTTTTATTATTGCTGAATATATTGATTTAGTTCTACTTAAAGTTGAAGGGTTTTAAAATCCAACTCATGTCAGCTGTTTAAAAACATTAATGTACTTAGGAGGTGTAGAGATTTACTAATTTATAGATAATATAAAGTAAAACTTATTAATCTATATGAGAAGTAAACTGGTTTATATCAGTGTGATAATAAGTTAGAGATGGTTTAGATACAAATTAGTTTGGTTGATGAAACCTACTTATTTACAGTGTTTTATTAATTTGTCCCATATTGAAAACTTTCCACCTTTTTGGTTATTGTAATAATTTTGTTGTGGGTTAGTGTCGCTAGTCAATTAATAAAAATTCCTATAATTTGTAATTTTTTGATGAAATGCTTCAGTTATTTTTCTTAAAATTACTTGAGTCTTTACTGACTCAATCCTCTTTGTCTGATTTTAAAGGTTTTAAACACTTCAAGGATTTTTTATTTTATTTAAAAGTATTTTTATGTAATTAATATCAATGTTTTCTTGTTAATAGAAAATATGCTTGGAAAGACTGGAAATATTGTTTATTTGTTCTGAATCTAACTTTTTTTCACTCAAACTTCCATCAGAAAAGCTTTAAAAAATAAACATTTACAGGTTTTTGTTAGAGAGCAATAATAATTTAACAGACATCCTAACAAGTCAAAGTGAGGAAATGGTACTACGAAACTTCACACAGTTTATATTGTCACATACTGAAATGGTTACATCGTCTTAGATGCTGATTTTCCATGAGAAAAGATTTATATTAGTAGGGTTAATATATTAATATATACATAATTTGTATGATGTTTTTGACATATGACTGACAAATATTTGATTGTCCTATTTTATTATGTTCTTAGCTTCATAGCTTTCTGCTGTTTTATTTAAGAAAAAAATATTTTTTTTTCTTATTTATGAGAAAAACCAAATCGAATGTTTCATTTTCACATCACATTTCCACCAATCTTCTTTCTGAATATTATTCATCATAGTGTCTCGGCCGACTGTGACCCTGCAGCCCAACTGGCCTGTTGTATTCAGAGGAGAGACGGTCACTCTGAGATGTGAGATCCAGGGAGGAGGAGGAACTCAGTGGAAATATGAATGGTTTCCAGCCAATAGAAACTCTCCATCATCCAGTGAATACAGGATCAGCAGCGTCTCTGACTCTGATGGAAGAAACTACTGTTGTAAGGCTCACAGTGACCATCAGATAACAAACTGGAGCTCTGCCTTCAGACTGACCGTGGATGGTAAGTCAGTCAATTTTCCACAGTTTTTAATATTTTCATTAACACAGTTCTAAGTAGAACAGCAGAAGACTGAGATGCCAAAACTTCTCATATCTGCATTACTTATCATATTAATGAGTGGCAAATAAGAAATAATTTCTGATTTTGTACATCTATATTTGAATGATTTTTTTTGTCAAGTTTTGTCACAGAAGTTATTTTATTAAAACTTTTTTTTCTTGGGTAAGTTGAATGAGAACACATTGTCATTTTCAACATCAACCTGTTCAGAATCATCAACTGAGGTTCAAGTCTGATTAACTGCAACAAACTGTTTCCTGAAACAAGACACTTTCTAATAGTTTTTGTTTGTTTGTTTGTTTGTTAAAACCAGGAAATAGACCCACACCCTCACTAACAGCGAAGAATTATAACATACCAGCAGGGGGCAGTGTAGCTCTGAGCTGCTCTGTTCGTGGATCTGCTGGCTGGAGGTTTGACTGGTTCAGACAGGAATCAGTGCATCATTCAGCTCAGTCCATCAGAAACAATGAATCAAGTGGAACCATCAGTGTCTCAAATGAAGGCGTTTACAGCTGCAGAGGAGGAAGAGGAGATCCAGTTTTCTACACTGAAACCAGCAGTGAAGTCACCATTCAGAAAACTGGTGAGTTTGTGTCTTTATTGTGGAATAAAATAATAATAATAATAATAATAATAATAATGATAATAATAATAATAATAATAATAATAATAATAATAATAACAATAATAATAAAAAAACAGATTATGACTCAGTTAGAACAGAGACCTGCAGCATTTAATGACAATGTCTTAATGTAGAATTCAATGTTAATAAAGACTGAAAATCTTTAACTTTGAAAATCAGTTATTTGATTAATGTTATCAGAATAATGAAAACCTTTAGACACCTACAGTTGAAACCAGATGTTTACACAGACATTTCAAAAGACACAATCTTTTTTTTTCTCACAGTGTGAAGTAAAGTCCGACCAAACTTTTCTTGCTTTAGGTTAGTTAGAATTACCAAATTTAATGATTAATTAATAATTGTCAACAACCTTAGCAAGAACATATCTTGCAGGGATTTTTTTAACTTCAAATATTACATGTATTTGGTCAATATCAGAAATAATTGTTTTTATCCATAAACCTCTGACAAGTTAAGCACCATATCTGAATTAATTGGAGGGACACCCGGGGATGTATTTTAAGGTCACACCTCTACAAATTAATCTAAGAAACTGAGTTCCAGTTTGCGTTGATTGGAAAGTCAAAAGCTACTAAATAATTTCTAAAAGACAGTTTTGCCAGTTTTTCTGGCATATAGAAAATAATTTTGGTAGTTCTAGTTGACCTAAAACAAGAGAAATTTGGTTTTAAAAAAAGTGTATTTTTATTCGGTAAGTATTTGATGTAAACTGTATCTGTTATTCATGTGAACAGTTCCCATCACACCCACTGTGATCCAACAACCCAACTGGTCTCAGATCTACAGAGGAGAGAAAGTCACTCTGAGATGTGAGATCCAGGGAGGAACTCAGTGGACGTATGAATGGAGAACAACCAATAGAAACTCTCCATCATCCAGTGAATACAGGATCACTGCTGACAGCAGTGGAGATTATGGCTGCAGAGGAAGACGAGACAGATTTACCTTAACAGAGTGGAGAGTCATCAGGTTAAATGTGTCCTGTGAGTTTCTCATATTTTAACCCATTTATGAATTATGTTTGCAGGTTTTCTATATGTGTAAATATGTTTGTATTTGATATCCAAATCTGAGAATGAACTTTATTACTATCAGTCACAGGTAAAAATGCAGGAAACATCAGATTGTAGTTTTCGATGAAAACAAGAGTAACTGAGAACTTAACAGTTTTTCTGTAAGAGCTTGAAACATTACTTTATCTGTGTAAAATAAAACAAACAAAAAAGAAAATGTATTATTTATGCTTTGTCAGTGACGGTATGTGGTATAATTTAAAAAAGTTAGCTTCAATATAAACACATTTAAAACAAACGGAGAAGAGAAAACAACTCCTGGATTCTTTAAGAGTGATGGTGATAACACCCTGAAATACAAAAACAAAGAATCATTCATACTGAAAGTCAATTTATATGTTATTGTTAAAACAAAAATTGTTTTTATAATATTTCAGAAAATAAATGTTTACATTTATATGTAAAATTAACTTCAACATTGTGCAGTGTCAGGGGATAGGCGATACTTTCATTCCACACTCTCTCTCTCTCTCTCTCTCTCCAGCGTCTCCCCCTCAGCCTGTCCTCTCTGTGTCTCCATCATGGCTGAATCCTGGAGCCTCAGTGACTCTGAGCTGTGAGGGTTTGGAGCATCAACCAGCAGGATGGAGGTTCTACTGGTATAAAGCTGTTCCTAAACCAATCAGCAGTTCCTACACCTTTGACCTGCTGCCTGGCAGCACCAATGGGACTGAGCAGAACTCCTTCATCATTCAGGGACAGAACCACACAGCAGGATTTGTGTGCAGAGCAGGAAGAGGAGAACCAGAGTTTTACACTTATTATAGTGAACCAAAGTTTATCTGGTCTGCAGGTCAGTTTGTTTTTGTTCTTTCAGTAGGATTTGTGCTTTCATGTTGGATTTCTATTCAACAATTTGTACTGCAGTTACAACGCTATCCATTGCACTTGCAATCAGTTATTTATTTATTTTATAAACTAAATTTTCTAAATAACACTGTGGATAATATATTGTATTCTTCCTGTTAGATTTTTTTTGTGTGTGTTTTATTAATAGTGCTAAACACACCATTCACTTGGGTCAGAGAACATCATCAATAAATAGCTGAGACAATTCTGATAACAATAACAAAACAATGTGTTGTAGAAGCTATGAAATACTGATGAATGTAATTCTCTGTCATAGACTTCAAAGCCTAATTTCACCACTATTTACCCCTTTGCAAAGTTGTGTGCGACATAGACAAAGAATTAGCTTTCAACTCTGGTTAAATAGTTGGTGTACTGGTTTTTAAAAAAAAAAAAAAAAAAAAAAACATTCCTTAGCTGTCAACATGACATTATTTAGTTTTCTGCTGAAAGCCAAATAATGAGGACAACTTCAACCAGAATACAGTAAAGTGTTCATGGAGACGGACCAGAAGCAATAATAACAATGTTAATGCTGTTGACTGAATATAAGCAACATACTAATATGAGTGACCCAGGTGAACAGCTGCTTAGTCAGCTCCATCTTCAAGTCATTGCATCATTTAGATGTACTGCAGCCCCTCCCTGCTGTTTCCAGATATTTTGGTTTGTGTACTTGATGTTTTAGAAGTGTTTTACAAAAATATATATATATATATATTTTTAATGTTTTAAGTCTTCATTATTATTTTAGTTGTTTGTTTTTGACACAAGCAATTTTAGACAAACATGGAGTTTTTGGGGTTTCTCTTGTATTTACATCATGCTCCTAAGCTTTGTTTTCTTAGAGTTCAAATTTAAGAAGAGGTTGAAAATTGTTACCTTATCAATGATCCTTTAATATTTATATTAAGACTAAATGAAGGATCACATCACTGCTTTTTCCTGTTAATGTAGAATCCTTAATTTTCTACTGGGAAGCACATATTTATAATTTGTTTCTAAATGTGATTCAAAAAGAAGCCATCATTGTTTGGCCTCTTTTGCGTTTATATTATAAAAGATGGAGATGGACTACTTAAACCACTGTAACCTAGATACACAACTGTTAGGAAAAATGCAATGCAAATATTATGTGTTTTTTTTTTTTTCTTTTTTCAGACTCTCATCCAGCAGCTTCTCTCTCAGTGAGTCCTGACAGAGTTCAGCATGTAATTGATCAGCCTGTCACACTGAAATGCAGCGGGAACGACACCAAGTGGAGAGTGAGGAGGTTTACAGAAACAACCAGTCCATCACACGTTCAGTGCTCCAACTGGGGAACGATGCATGGATCCTCATGTACCATTAACAGACTGTGGTACCACAGTGGAGTTTACTGGTGTGAGTCTGAATCAGGAGAATTCAGCAATGCAGTCAACATCACTGTACAGGGTAGGTTATGATTTTTGATGCTTTTACTTTTTCCTGTGCTTAAAACATTTCTATTTCACTATACCTGCAAGTACTGTAAACATAATCCATTGCTATCTAGTGTTTCCAACATTGTATGCTTTTCAGGTACATTTAAAAAAATGAATAAAGAAAATTTAAGTGTTTAACATGTGCAGCAGAAAGGCATTAAAACCTTTTGTCTTTTAAATCCGAGAAGCTCAGGTTCTTTGTTTGGCGTTTCTATTTTGTAAACATGTGCTTCAAGTAGGTTTTAGGAGAATAACAGGTAACTCCTATGACTGAAGATCAGATAACTTGAAATATCATTTGAAATTCCTAGCTTTAGTGTTCACAGCAGTCTCTGTTGTGGGGAACTAGCTGTAGATTAGCAGAGAAGACAGGGGAGGGTGTTAGCAGCGCAAACACAAGGGTAATTGACAGCATTTATACCCTCCTCCTGGCTCTCATTGTTTTCTCTTTTTTTTTATCAAAATCCCCAACTGCTCATAAAGATTTGTTACTTAATCGTTACTGAAAACATCCATGGATCAATCACAAATTTATTTCTATCAAAAATAATTAAGTGCAATTAATACATTATGATAATGTGTGAATATGTTTTTATCATTGATAACAATTCAAAAATAATTTATCTGTTGCTGAAAAAATAGATAGTGATTGTATTTTCCGTTAGCTTAGTTTAACACACAGACATAAAAAAAAAACTACTCTGCAAATACTTAAAACAGCTTTTTACAAAGGTTGAACACAGCTGTTTGCTGAGTAATAAATGATATTTTGACTGTTGTACAGATGATTACGATGGTATTATCCTGCTGAGTCCTGTTCATCCTGTGACTGAGGGAGATCCTGTTACTCTGAGCTGCAGAGATAAAAAACAACAACTTCTCTCCAATGTGTTTTTCTATCACAATGATAAACTCATCCAGAATGACAGCAGAGAGGAGCTGAATATCTCTGCAGTGTCAAAGTCAGATGAAGGTTTCTACAAATGTCAACATTCAGGAAAAGATTCACCAAGAAGCTGGATGTCTGTTAGAGGTGAGGAGGAGGAAAATGTTTGATTCATTTTATTCAGCACTGAGGATGTCTGTTTGGATGTGATGTAGCATCTGGTGATAAATACCTTTGTTTTCCTTTCCATATTTTCTATTTCCAGTAACTGTGTCCAGTCCTGTCAGCCCCTCGTCTCCTTTACTGCTGATCATTGGACCCATTAGTGGAATCATTCTGATTATTTTCCTTCTCTTGTTGTGGCGCTACAGGCAGCCCAAAGGTTCGATCACACTGGGTCTTTGTTTATTTAAACTCTTTAATCAAAGGCACACATTCGTTCTGTTCCATGTAACAAATGATTTGAACCACAGAATGAGTAACAATAAATGTCTTCTCCACAGATTTATGCTCTTTCAGGTCAGTACTTTACTTTCCTATATAACGAACATAAATCTCTGTAGTTGTTTGCTGTAACTTTTCTCTGTTTATGTTTTAGATCAGAAAAAAACTATCGGAGGTCGACCACCGACCACGGAGCGGAGAATGAGATCAGCTCTCCTTCTCAAGGTCAGAATTTAATCAGATTCTTCTCATAATGCGTTTACACTTATGTATTTTTTTTTTGTGATCAACTTATATATTTATTCAGTATGTTTAATATTTGCATGTTTACGATTACAATTAAAATAAACTACCATAAAAATGATCTGTAATGACACATTAAACTTACCAAGAATGAAATATGAAATTCAGTTTAAATATACCAAAAATGATTTTAGATATTTTTGTTCTTGAATAATTTCACCTTCTAACTGCATGACATTAACGCTAATGGCCTATTAGGCTACTATCAAAACTGTTCAAAGAAAATAAATGAAAAATAAATGAAAACTTCAAAAAGTACAACATGTGCAGCAGAAAGGCATTAAAGCCATTAAAAGCTTTTGTCTTTTAAAACCGAGGAACTTCGGTTTTTTCTTTTATTTCTTTTTTTTTTTTTTTTTACTCCAGATGCTGCTCTCTATGAATCAGTCAAGCCTTCTGAAGCCACTGCAGCTGAACCCAGAGAAATAACGTACGCCATCATTAAGTTCAAAAAGCTGAGAAAAAAGAGTGAGTTCCAAACACGAACCTTGCGCAACAGAAGAAGATGACTAAATTATTTCCAGCTTCATGTCGCTGTTTCGTTGATTGTTTGACAATCTCAACAGAGAAACCACGTAAGCCTGAGGAACGCGTTATTTACGCTGAAGTGAAAACAAGAGCTGAAGGTAAAGTCGGCTCAAACAGTCGGACTTTATGTTAAAATGTGTCCTCGTGTCGCTACACTGCAGGTTCAGGTCATCTAACGTAGTTTGGTTTCTGCTTTTCAGAGTCTGAAATAAATGTGCTGTCTTTTTTCTTTTTTTTTTTTTTAGTAAACAATGTGGTGTAAAACATAGTTGGTTCTTCTGGTTTGAGCATCTACACTTTGTAATCTGGATGTAAAATAAACAGGACGTTTCATGTTAAGATCTGTTGATATGATGCCGCCTGCGTCCCCAACCGGATTCCTGTGTCTGATTAAATGAGTTTCCCGTTTCAGAACTCGCTCCAACCTACGCTGAAATCAATAAGAACAAAGCCAAGCAAGACAGGAAAGGTAACAGAGTTTCTCATATGCAACATATTTAATCAAATCATTTCAGGTCTTCAATTGGTGAGACATTTTCATCGTAATTCCCAGTTCTAGTGATCTTTTTAGCATCTTTGGATGTATGGCTTTGCAAATTTTCCTCCATATACAATAATTTATAACTAGTGGTGTAAGTTTTGCACATGGACAGTGTTAGGATCAGTATGACTCTAGGAATTAAATTCCTGCTTGTTGATTTTGTCATCACTAATTCAAATTATCTTCATTCACAGAAGAACCTGCAGCAACAGATGAATCAGTTTATTCTGAAATCAAATCAGTATCAGCTCTGGACGATGAATCTGCCTTGTAGCACGCTGTGCTGGTCTCTCTCTCTATATATATATATATATATATATGTATGTTTAATATGCTTAGAAGTTCATGTACACGCTTCATGTTAGATCAACATTGTCTTTAAGTACAAGACTTAGCTTTCAATGTCTTGAATATGTATTTTGAATATAATTAATATATGTTAAAATATGTCTCTCACCCAAAATGCTGCATAAGTGTGAAATATATGATCATTCATTTCCTCTATTACACAATTAATACATATCTAGCTGTATTAAGTAAAAATAATACTGTAAGGGTATCAGTATTAAAATCTATGTCTTTTGGAAATAAACATAATAGAATTGTATTATACTGCAGTCTAAGCACTGTGTTATTGTTTCCTATTTCTACAATGCTGAAGGCAAAAGATGGGAATAATTGGCTGAAGTTAATAGGTGAAAAAATAAACGCCGTTACTTCTTAGATTAAGCATTAGAAACAGCTGAGCTGTCTTTATTTTTATTTTTTTACAAACATGTTACATTTAATAAATATGTCACATTTTAATGTGTATTTTGTGTTTTATTTGTCTGTGAAAAAAGAAAACACCAACACTGAGCAGTGCTGAGCAGAGACCACTAAAGGGGCAGGTGCTCAAAAAAAAAAAGGCACATCTAACCGCATTTCAGGACAGAATATTAACAAAGTCAATATTCTGTTGTTTATTAAACAGCTTTCAGAGTTTAATAAACAATTGTGAGATATACAACTAGATTTATTACATCTTAACATAATAAAAACGTAACAGCTGCCTTGTAATATTAAATATATTGTTCACTACCAAAAACTGCATGTTGATCATGGTAAGAACCTTCATTTTTATTTTTTTGTTCTTACCTGCGGGACTCGTTCTGACCCAGTCGGTCAACAATCCACCACCTTTGGCTGCTTCAAGCAGATCATTTCGTTTTTGTTTCTGACGTCTTTCTTTATGTGGCAGCTTTGAACAGAAAAAATAAAAACATAATGAATTATGATCAAAACACTATATTAAACCACACTACCAATTCTTTACCCTGGTGTTTAAACCAATATGTTTTTCAGTCCATAGCACAACATAATATTAATTTCAGAGAAAATGAGACCTCTGCTATGGAGTTCAATTTGTTTGACAATTATTCTATAAACACATATATACACTCCTGATCAAAATCTTAAGACCAGTTAAAAAATTGTAACAATTTGCCTTTTCCCACCATTGGATCTTCAGAAGGTTCTAAGTAGAGCTTCACAATATTAAAATAAGAAATCAGCTTAAGAGACAAAAACTTTTGAGCGGGGAATTAATTGAAAACTTCATTTACACTCAAACATGACTTTTTTCAGCTGATCAAAAGTTTAAGACCATATCTCAAAAACCCACCGAAAACCCCCCAAGACAGAAATCAAAGTGTCAAAAAAAAAGGGACTCAGTAATGAGTAGCTCCACCATTCTTGTTGATGACTTCAAACAATCGTTTAGGCATGCTTCCAAACGGGCAATTTTGTGGCGTTGAAGAGGACGTGGCCTTTGAGGACGTTTTTTTGTTTCTGAAGCCCTTCTCTCGCAGATGCCGTCTGATTGCTACTGGGCTGCAGTCAGCACCAGTAATGGCCTTAATTTGGGTAGAGGATCGTCCCGTGTCTTGACGGACAGCCAATCGGATCCTGCGGCTCAGAGCTGGTGACATTTTTTTGGGTCTACCACTTGACTTTTTTGTTCTATAACCCTCAGGATCATTTTAAAAAAATGCAAAATGACTGTCTTACTGCGTCCAACCTCAGCAGCGATGGCACGTTGTGAGAGGCTTATGCAGCTCAACAATCCTACCACGTTCAAAGTCAGTGAGTTTTTTGCTTTTGCCATCAGGAGGTCTTGACAGTGTAAAGACATGACAAAAAAATGACATGGAATCCAGATTTTTTGCACAACTTTTGGCTTTTAAAGACTACAGTCTTAAACTTTTGATCAGCTGAAAAAATCATGTTTGAGTATAAATGCAGTTTTCTATTAATTCCCCGCTCAAAA